GGTCAGGACAGTTATTAAAAGCACGAACTTGCTCTCCACACTTTTTAATTATGCACTTAAGGGCTTCGTTATCTGTGTTCTTGACATAATCTTCAAACCTCCCTTCCCCTAAGTCTTCCTTCCGGGTGAAGAGCACAATCATATATTTCATAACTTCCGCTCCAAAGATGGCCTCCAGTTCCGCCACCACTGTTTGGTCCTCTTGAGTGAACCGTCCCAGCTGCAACACCAGAACAAAAGTTTTGATCCCTTCTTCACAGCAGGACAAACAGTAATTGACCTCCTTTTCTAACAGGGATGGATCCTTTTCAACACCAGACGTGTGGCTGAACTGGAGTGTCCACAACCACAACATCCTGCCCGTCCCACGTCATCCTGAGGCTCTCACACATCTTGGTAGCCAGCTGGGCTCAGAGTTGAGAGGGGAAGGCAGAACAGCCCAGAACAATGTTCCTGGTGGCACTCTTTCCAGTCTCACTCCCACCCATGAGGACAATGCTCAGGGCTTCTGTCAAAGGGAAAGCAGGAGAGATTCGTGACCATGGGCTGATGTGGAGTTGGACTTTAAAGTTATACCATAAAGCAGGGTTACATCATTAAATTAGAGAGGATGCTCAGACAGCACTGAGGCCTCCCTCTCACCTGGCAGGTTGATCCCCATGCTCATGAATAACGTGTCCCAGTTCACACAGTCTGTGAGATCAGCAGCAGGACTTGGACCATGGTCTGTGTCCCATGCTTGCCCACTAACATGGCACTATTCCTATCTCTGAGTCTGCTCTGCTCCCTTTCTCTTGTGCCTTCTCTGACTCCATGGTGCCTCTGAGTGCCATTGGTTTTATTACTCTTGATGCTCCTCAGTTGGGTCCCTCTACACATCTCATTTCTTTGTCTTCTGCTCATGCTGACTACGTCTTCCTATTGCCATCTCATGCTAACTATAGCAAAATCTCCTTGAGGCATTTGAAAAATTATTCTATAGAATTGATTTTTCATGAAACAGTAACTACATATACCATCAACAGATTACCAGTTTCCATTTGGAGAGCTTTTAGAAGAAAAAAAAAAAAGATTACCAGTTCCCTTGACTGGATCACACTAAAATTCCTTTCTCATTAAAACCACATTGAACATAGTTGTGTTTTCCATCAATGAGCCAAAAGGTGCTTCATGGTTATAATAATAAATATCCACTCACCCTGTTGTGTGCAGTGTCAGTGACAGAGAAGGAGAACAAATTTCCCTATAAATGGAATTTGCAAATGCACAGAGATCTTACAATACGTATTCCTTGGGGGTTTCCTTACACCCTGCACTTGCACTGTGATGGCCTAGTGCTTCACAATTCTCTTTTATTATGAATACTTTATCAAGTTCCTAATATCCACTTCCAAGGAAAAAAGGAGGAAAGCCCATCCTGTGCTCTTCCTTCCAGGGGCAATTGCTAAATTGCTTATCCTGAACCCACAATCTCATAGTTGCGCCTACGGGATGTAAAACAGATTACTCTTCTGACACCCCCATATTTGTCATGATTTCAGTACCTGATTCTGTACCTACAGAGGGTCTGGTTCTCAGATACCTCTGAAATCTGGTCTAACCTCCCCATCCCACATTATCTACAGCTGTGACCTCCTCCCCTCATATCCAGCAAGACTATTCTATTTTGTCCCCTCACAAGTGGCAGGCTCAGTGAGTCCTGCTCCTTTGCTTCAAATTGTTAGTGTACCCTCTGGAATGTCTCCCAACTTGCTGCTCAGCCATCCAAACCCCACCCATTCTCCAAAACCAGTTTCAAATTGGGCTTTCTCCACACAGGCTCTCCTGACTTCCCTGTGTGTCTATACTTCTCAGGGAGGTATAAACCAGTACCTGGCCCTCCATGAGGAATACAAAAGGGCTCAGTAAATACTGATGCTCCTTTGGGTCTAATGTTCTTTCTGGGTGAGGAAGATTGAAGCAGCAGAGAATGCGATGAGAAGGAATGAAAAGAGTCTCATCTCAGGTCAGTAGAGCGTGTGGCACCGAGTGGATAAGGAATCCTTAAGTAGAAGACAGGGCAGTGTGCTGAGCCACTAAAACCCATCAAGTGCCACGTGGGGCTCATCCATCCTGAGTATTTGGGTTCCCTGTCCTCGTTCAGTCCCTGGCTCCTCACTATCTTCGTATCTTAGTATACTAAGTGTCATTTGCTGTTTACATTTTCTTTAAAATGGCCTCCCATCTCCAACAGAGAGAAGAGTAATGAATCGAGAGTGCTTGGGCTTAAGAGAAACAGGAAAGTGAACCAGTGACCCAAAAGGATCTCATCACCAGCGCTGAGTGCCAAGCCCTGGACAACAGCACACTCTGGGAAAACAAGACATCGGAAAAGGTCAACTCTTTCCCTCAAGACTCTTACCATCCAGTTGAAGAGATGCGCTAAGGGTCACAAAAGAATTAAAGACCAGTTCAGGACGGGGTGCAGGAAAAGCTCAAAACTTCAGCACAATTTGAGAAATAAAGGAGATAGAGAAAAGTCAATAGAATGAACCTGTTCCTTCCACTTTTTCTATGCCTTCGAAAATAAAAAGTTCTTGTACGTTTCACGTACGTTTCACATCTATAGTTTAAACAGTATGTATAAAAATGTTGCCTAGTCTTGTTTTACCTTTTTCTCTGAAGATGCAAGGCTTGTTCCCATTCTTGCGCACCAAGCTCTCAACTTTTAGTAGGAGTCGTCCACCTGCCTTTCCTCTTCTTCTCCCATTGCCTGGTAGTTGAAGGCACTGTATCTGTTTTTACATTTCTGGATGAACTCATAGCAAGCTTTATTGCTGTTTCTTAGGAACATATCTAGATCCCGATTCCATAAATCTTCTTTCCTGGTAAAGAGAATGATCACATACTCAGTGAATTTGTCTCCAAAATTTCTCTGGATAATTTTTAGCTCTGCCTCATCTTCCTTGGAATAGGACCCCAGTGGTGTCACCAGCAAGAAGGCATGGGGACCAGGATGGGTGTGTTTCCTAAGTTCTTTGAAGATGAGATGTCTGGAGTATCAATGATCAAAACTTTCTTCTCTCTCCAGATTCTGCTCTCAGACCAAAAGCTCTGGGTTACTGACTTCTTGCTGAATTTGGTCTCGTAGACCCGCTTCCCCAGAATGCTGTTTTCTGCTGCACTTTTTCCAGCACCCTGTTTCCCTATGAGGAGGACCTTCAGTTCTGACATCCCCAGGTCCTGCTCAGGTCCTGTGGCCTGCAGATGCCTCTCCTCTGGGACAGTGGGACAGAAGGACAGATTCAGAGTCTCTTCCAGCAATTGAATATGGATGTGGACAGGTTCCATGATTTCCCATCCATGTCAATTTTCACAGAGAGTGTCAATAGTGCTCTGAACTAGCAGAACTCTAGTCCCAGTAAGAAGCTCTCCATCAAGGTGAAAGCCTCAAAAGGATGTATGAGCAAACTAAGAGATATGCAAGGAGCTTAAGATTTCCCAGGATCATGAACATGTTAAATTTGGCCTTCACTGGTCTTGGTCCTCAGGGTTCCTCTCATTTTGTTACCAAAGGTAAGGCCTGGGGCATGAGGTCCATGGGCTAAGGCAGGAGCAGGGAGAATCTGATTCTCAATGCCCCTTAGTGACATACTCATAAAGCAAAATACTACTCAGCAATTTTTAAAAAGAGTGAACAACTGATATGCAACATGGATGAATCTCAAAAACATGCTAAATGAAAGAAGCCAGACACAAAAACTACATACTCTGTGATTCCCTTATATGAAGTTCAAGGACAGGCAAAATTAACCTATGTTCATAGAAGTCTGGATAGTGATTCTTTCCAGGGAGGGACAGTAAGAACTTCTAAGGTGATGGAAGTGCTCTATATCTTTGTCTAGACGGTAGTCACATACGTGTAGCTATGGAAACGTCATCAAGCTGTATACTTAAGACTTGTGCGTTTTGCTCTATGTAAATTGTACCTCAATAAATTGCTACAAAAACCTAAAAACCTGCACCCTGAAACTCTCTCTCCGCACATCCTCTGCTCCCACTGCTTCTGCTGTGAGCCAAAGTCAACAGCAGACCTACGTACTGAGCAAAAGGTAGAATCGGCAGCTGCAGGGAATATTCAGAGTCTGAGTCATCAATGATGCTAATAGGAATAGATCATCACTTGGCGACTGAGAGGCAAGTCGGGGAGGTGAGTGAACAGAGCCTTTCAAGTAATGTAAAGCAGCTAAAATGTTAGTGACACCGGGTCCTTGTTATGTTGCCTTGCAAAAGTTACTACTTTGTGAATCTCGGTTGACATGCTGGTAGAATGGAAATATTAATGCCTCTATCGGGGGCTGTCGAAAGGACTAAAGGAGATTGCATACATGAAGTCTTTAGTATCTTTACTAGCCCAGAAGTGTCCATAGAAGACCTCACAAGGGAAGAACTTGAATCAGGTCTGAAGCCACCCTTCCTCTCTCTTACACTCCCTTCCCATCCTTTGCAACCTTCATGACTTTTGTACACATGATAGCACTCTTCTTAGCCTATCTAACTCCTACTGGTTATTCAGGTTCCTATACAAATACAGCTTCTTCAAGAGAGCATCCCCTAAATTGCTCCCTGCAAAACCATACAAATTAGGTGAATGTCTTTCCTTTATAACATTAACCAAAATAATAATTCATTATCTCATTATATGTTGGTTCTCTTCAGTACAGGACAGATAATATTGTAGTGGTTGAAAGTTGGAGCTGAGAAAGGAAAAAGTAGCCCCTGAGAGCCAGAGCTGGCCTGGCGTTCACAGCTAGGATGTGGCATTGTCCTGTTCATCATCAAGAGTGCTACAGAGCATCAGGCACACACTCTGTGGCCACAGCCACTCCCTAATCATATCTGCACACAGACAGAAGCAAGAACATTGCCCAGACATCCTCTATCCTGGCTAAAAGAATGACAGCTGCTTCCTGACAGCTTTAGCTTCACTCCACCCTTTCTCCTCCAAGATAAGAATTATTAAAACACCTAGTTGCAGAATGATTACCAGTTCCTGCTAGCATCCATCCAGAACAAAGTCACGCTTCCTCTAACTTTTCCCAAATCCACCTAACAGAGCCCACATCCTATAAAAAGTCCTTCCCAACACCCTCCTTCTGAGATGCCCTATGATTTCCCATGGTGTGCTTATGCCCTCACTGCCACAAATCAATAAACACAATTTTGTTCAGTCTCGTGTATGTTCTTGGGAGTCCTGGCTGAAAGGCATCAAGAGAACTTTGAAACCTTACTGCCAGAGTTCACATATTTCTGGCTGAGTTCACTCATCTATTAAATGAGGATAATGATCATAAGGCACCTTCTTTACAGGGTTGTTATGAGAACTAAACCATATATACTTTTAAGAGGATGATATATTGTATGCTATGAGGATTGAATCATATATATATATATATGTTATTTTCATATATATATAACATATATATATATATATATATATATATGTTATTTTCCAGCACATAATTTCAGCTGCAATTATTATCGTTAGTAAAATTGTAACTTTACTATTTGGGGGAGTTCCATGAGGACAAGGATCTTGTCTATCTTACTGCTAAATACCCAATTCTCACACAGGACTGGCCCAGAAATTACCTGAAAGTCCATCAATAAAGGGATGGTTGCATTAGTGGCATATGTCCACATTATGGAACAAATTGCATCTACCATGCAGAAAGAGGTAGATTATATGCATTGGCTTGTGCAGTGTGCAGGACATGTCATTGACGACAACCATTACATGGATACTGTGCTCTATCAGTGAATTCTGCAAGTTGGTGTTGTCCACAAGGAGTGATTTCTGCCTTACCATCGGAAGTCAAAATGTGGGCAGTGCTGGATCCAGGGCCAGGAATAAGAAGCTGAGTTAGGAAAGAAGCCACGAGAGGCAAGCCCGGCTCTGTAACATTTCAGAGAAGGCCAGGGACACCTTTGCTGTGTCCAGGACCTCTGCTGGTTCTGCACCTACTCACAAGTGTTAGGAGTTCCCTGGGAGACAGGTCGTGGGTCCCAACCTGTCCTAGGTCCCCAGGTTGCACTTTTGTTCTGATTTATGTGGATAACTTTTCTACCTCACTTTAGCAGCATAATGCATTCAAAGGAGTGCAGATAGGAACTTAACATTCTTTAAGGATCAACTTACCATGTGGATTGTCCCTCTCCTGAGATGTAGCTTCAGTCAAATAATTCTAAAAAATAAGGAAAGAAATGATGCACACAGATCTAAAATCTCATCTTTTTCGCAATGTAAAGAAATGGAGACACAAGTGTATAATTCAGAGTAATCTGCTGATTAGGACATGGTCAAATCAAGGCCACAGTCATGGTCCTGGTTGGCTTTTGTGGACCTGTCCAGAATGACATTCGATATTTAGACCCCACTGACGCTCCCCAGAATAGAGATGAAACATCTTCTAACATAAGTTCCAGTAAAATTTGGAACACCCCCACCCACCCTAGGTTGACAAAAGTGGACACCAGGGTGGAAAGCCAAACATATAACTGACATCCTCTTCTCCTGCCTGGTGATCCTTATGCTCGCTCCTTAAAATTTTAACTGTCATGGAATCAAGAAAGGAAGTGAAAACGACGATTTGCAATCCTAATGAATCTTCTCTTTTTAGAAGTTTCCTGGACTTCATTTTAACCTTATCTTTGTGAACTCTCCATACCAGCCACAGAAACATTCCCTCTGCCTTCTTACATGACCTCGCCTAATCATCATGGACACCTTCAATCATCTCTCTCCCCAGGACCTCTCCATTTGGCTCTGATTATCAGATCTTTTTCACTTTACATAGTCCAGTTCAAATTCTTTAGTGTTCTTTAAATGCAAATGATTGGTAAATGGGCATGATATAAAAATTAGTAATTTTTCCATCTCCAAGCCACCAGGAAAGTAATGGTTATTAGCTGATACATATCCTTCTAGTTTTTCTATGTTTAAACAAATACATAAAAGCATACATAAACCAGGCTTTTTGCCCTGCAATCTACTTAATAATATATGCTGTACATCTGCACAAGTCAATATAGATAGATCTACCTCATTCTATTTAGCAGTTACAATCTACTCCACAGTATGAGCATACATAACTAATGCAACCATCCCTTTATTGATTTATCTTCAGGTTATTCAGGTTATTTCTGGTTTTGCTATTTCAAAAGATGCTGTAATAACTATCCTTGTACATACATCTTTATATATATACTAATGCTTTTATTCCAGGGCATAGAGTCCTAAAAGTGAGAATCAGGCTCTGGTTTGCTAATGTCCTTAATGTCTCCATAATTTATTTGACCCTCATACATTTTTATAATAATGACATCTAATAATTATCAAACACCTACCAAGTTTCAAATATTTTTCAACAACTTTGTAAACATCTCATTTAATCCTCCAACAATTCCTGAGATACATCACTATTATCTCTGTTTTGCAGAAGACAAAACCAGGATACTGTGTTTAGCAAAATAGCTATATCATTACTGTCCTCATGGAGTTTGTGGGAAGGCCACTATTGCAAATATATTCACAGGACTCACTGGATATGGTGGTGACTAGTGTATGTGTTGCGTGGGGCATGCCATGAGAGAATGGGAGCTGTGAGGGCTGGCTCCAGGGTCCTGAGAGACAGGACAGTCAGGGGTGACTCCCTGAGGAAGCGGGTTTACATTGAGGCGGGTGGATAAATAAAAGCTGGTATGGGGGTGGGCTGGGAGTGCAAGTGTCAGGCAGAGACAATCACAGGTTTGAGACTCTGCAGTGGATGTGAGCGTAATTCAAGGGCCGGTGGGAAAGCTGGTGAGACCAGCATGCCAGAGACCAGCTCCAGTCGAGTTGGGGGTCCTTGAAAGAGGGATGAGGAAGCCGCAAAAATAAAAAACACAGGCAGAGACCTCGGTTCCTCTGAAGCACGTTCTCAGCCTGCGGGCTGTCAGCGCTGTCGCAGCCAGAGCAGCTAAAGCAGCTGAAGCAGCCTTTAGACTGAAAACAGCATTTTTATTTGTTACCCCCCCCGGGGGGGGGATGGAGGGGGA